AAACAATTTCTCTGATACTCTTAAGCTCAACATTTTCTTTTAAAATTTTGAAAAAATTTACAACTACTACCCTCAAAAAAAAAGAAAAAAAAGGCACTGTTTACTGTATGTATAGATATTTAATTGCAAATTTCTTCTTTCATGGATGCTCAATTCCAGAGCAGTAGAGCATATTGATACGGTAGATAAAAACAGAAGACAAGCAGCAGCTTCTGCTATGAGAAAAGTCTACTAAAAAAAAAAAAAGACAAAGCATCAAAATAAACGTCAACAGTTTAAGTGCACAATTTTTATGCATGTGGGTGGTATGCTATACACATATCAATGCCCGTCTAGCAGTCTTGCGAGTTTCTGGTTCGCAAGTCTCAATGACCCGTGCTCCTCACTCTGCGTTCATATTTATCGCAAAGAATAAAGTGGTATCCAAACCCGGCGAAAATTGCAAACACGAGTTGGTTATAGGCGGCAGTGAGCCTTGCTAATCGCTTTTAACTATTTGTCGGGCCTTAGTCAAGACCCAGTGAACAGTTTTTGGGGCCTGGCCAGTTTTTCGGTCAGGTAATAATCGTTCGGATGTTGCGCTTGCTGCATGAGATTCTGGTCGTAATGGCTGGATAACGGGGTTCTTATAAAATAATGATGGCGGCCAAGTTTTATTCATTAAAATACATGCTTGATGCAGGGAAATGCGGTTTCAAGAGGTAGATGTAATAGATTCTAATTTTTTTTACCTATTCAGCGCTTTTAGTTAGGCATTACTCAGTAACATACATCATTTATTTTCTGTATTTATTTGCCATACAATTTTCCAACACTTTATTGTCAATCGTAAGTAATCTGGTGACTTGACTACAAAAACACACTGGAACTGTTCAATCAAAATGATTTATTGGAATTCAATCGTTTCAAGAGAACGTCGAAACTTTTTTGGTAAATATAATGGACAAAAAGAAGATTTTTCACAATAAGAACATCACAAAACTGGAAGAAACTGTCAAATTCAACGAAAATTACTGCCATCTGTGAATAATAACTAACTCATAAATTCAATAGCTTTTCTTAACGGTGACCACCGGAACACAAAATGCCAACGTTTTCACAAACTGGCAGCGCCTACCCGTACCATTCCGAAGAACTTCTGCTTGCTCGCGTTCAAAAGCATCATTTCCTACCCAGTAACCCTGGCAGTCATCTGCCAATCAAACACTTGCCCACACACTCCAGTGAGCGGGCCCCAAAAATTGTTCTTTGGGTCTTAAGTAAGGCCCTGATAGAAAACGAATGCGAAGATGAATGTTCTGTGTTGCATTGTACCCAATCAATACGTTCAGTTTTAGACGGGTTTAGCTGATACATAGCAGAGAGGGCACAGACGATGAAAGTGAATTTTCACTATGCAATTTGTAATATACCAGGTTTTTTTTTGTCTACTACAAATATTCATATCAAAAATTTATAGGTAATCTATAATATATAACATTTAGCATATAATATATAAATGCATAATACGTTGAGGCGTTATATCACATTACACAGAACATATAATTAGTGTATTGTGTAGTTAT